AGAATTRGTGTGCTTGTGAGTTTCGATATGCTAATCTAGTTTATTTAAATATCTTGAATAATTTATTGGGAGGTAGATACTGCACCACATACTCTGCAGCACTTTGTATTGGAATCTGTTTTGGCTGCAGTCTCTTCATAGAGTTCATTTTGAGTGGCATGGAGGGAAAATTCCTTTTAAATTAAAAGGAGAATGAAGATAAGATTAACATTCCTAAGGGCTATATAATTTTTTGACAGTTTGAGTGCATCACAGTTACTTGCAGGTAGACTCAATCTCTTCTTATATAACACCGAGACAAGTAATTGCTGTCAAGTTTATCACTCAAAGATTATCTTTGAGTTAATACCATGAAATATTTTCTGCAACATTGAAGTATTTGTGTTGCTGGTTTAGTAAGCTGAAGGTGTGTTGTGCAGCTTGTTTATCACTATGTAATTGCAACAGGGAGATGCAGAACTTGCCCCTAATCCTCTCCTCGTCCCCCCTTTTCCTCCCCTAAGATGCATGGCAAGTTTCCCAGGCGTTGAGCTGTGGAAAAAGTGGGTTTTCTCAGACTCCATTCTCAATGGATGCCAAATAGAAATGCCATTCCCTGAAGATAATACAGAATGTTAAGAATTTAATATTGCTGCTTCTGTTATTTCTAATGTCAGGCCTTAGAAATGGCTGGGGCAGATTTAGACTGGCGGATAGGTATGAGACTGGATTTGTGTATTAAATGTTGCTGCTTTTGGGTGGCTACTACTGTGTGCGCCTTGCTGTGCTCATGTTACTCCTTTTGGCYTTTTGATTTCTTAGCTAAGAAGTGAGGAGAAGCTGTGAAGGGTGTTTTTTATAGCAGCCAGTTTCCTTGCGGCATCATGAAATGCCACTAGGTATGGGTAGATGTCTTTATGTTGTGATCATTGGAGTTGTAGTTAGTACTGTGTTGTGTAATATTTTGTGCTGTGTCATTGAGCTTAAATCTCCTTTGAGATGTGTGAGAGTTTCTCAGTTACTATTCAGGCTCTGTGTCAGCATAACGGGCTGTTGCTGCAGCAGTTGCTCCTTACCCATATTTCTGATAGCCATGTCTCATTATAGCTAAAATTTCTGGGGATTTTACTCTCTGTTTTTAAACAAAATCTGACAACTAATGAACAAAGGTGGCACCTCTCCAAAAAACATAATTGCCAAGTTTCTGTAGCATGGCCTGGCATGTTGGTGACATGGCTTACAAAATCTGTCTCAAGTGAATGGTTCTGCCTCTCATCTCCTGAATGTGTTGTCAAAGTGCAGTACCCTTCTGTGTACACTTATGCACATCATTTACACCGCTTTCTGTGYTCCCAACTTATGTGGGAGGTTGCTAGGAAAGGATTTCTTACTGCATTTCCCTCCTTTTCTTCTGGGGGTGATGCCCAAGCTCCATGTGCCGGTTCCTCGTTTCTTGACAAGAATTCTACAGGAATTCTACGTTGTTTGTACCAGTGTCTACTGATACACTACCTCCAAAGCTAGGAGTGTGTCTTGAAAGTATACCAAGTATATGGAGGTCAGAGGAAGAGTTTCAGTTGGGAAGGGGTGGTGTGCGGATCATGACGCATCAGGAGCTTCCTGTGTTTCGTTAAGAAGGTTTTAGACACAGTTGTGTTTGTGTAGGTGGGCTAGGACAGTTCAGCAGGAATGATCCTGGCTCTAGCTGTCATCACAGTTGTGATGGTGGAAATGGAGCTAAGTATATGGAAAGAATTGGAAAAAAAAAAAAAAAAACCCACCTTCCAGTTGCCTTGCATTTGTACATCTTTATCGTAACTACTGTTTTCTCTTTTCCATAGACAGTCCATTGATGTATGTGAAGGTCTAGCTTGTGTAAACCTCAGCATAAGCTGCTGGTGAGAGCTGCCCTCTTTGTTATTACAGTCCTGCTGCTTTTAATGTCTAGAACATGAAAGCTGGTTCTGTAAGAAGAATGAATCCCAAGGCACCAGTGAAGCACGTGGTGTCGAATTCCTCCCTCCGGCCCACAGCTTGGGGCTTGGGGCTTTTGCCCTGCCCGGCTCCCAAAGCAGCCCGGGCCGCTGGYGTAACGCCGAGCTTCAGCAGCCCTCCTGCTGCCTGCTGCTGGCCGTTGTTTAACTCCGTCTCTTAGGAACGTACAAGTCTAGCAACTGGACGTGCCGCTGGAGGACACGGCTTCCCTTCCRGCGGGCTCTGCTCCTGGCCGGTGAGGGCCGCTTCAGCGGTGCGTGGAGCAGCTCTGCGCTGCTGCCGCCGTTGCTGGGAATAGCTGAGTGCTCCTGCTGCTCTTGCTGTTCGTTCCCTAACGGTCATTTAGTGCCATGCTCCCTTTACTAAAAACTTTCAGTGTATTTTTGTAACTGTTCCTTTTGCAGGTAAATGGAGGAAATGCTGGGATGATCGGAAGTCCTGGTGGACTGAAAAGAGGGAGAGGGAAAACAAGAATAAGCTGGTAGCCAGCTAGCAGGTTTTTGAGGAAGAGCCCGCCAGCTAATGCGCTGAGATGTTTTTCATTTTTGTATGAGAACTTTCTGTTTTTATGAATTGGCGTTCTGGGTGAAGACCGTTGAGGGACTGGAGCATCTGCCATGTGAGGAGAGATGGGAGAGCTGGAGGAGAGGAGGAGGCTCAAGGGGTCCCATCAGTTTGTCCGAACACCCCAAGGGAGGGCGTGGGGAGACGGAGCCAGACCGGAGCCCAGACAGCGGCCTCCGGCTGAAACACAGGGAATTGCTCTGCGCTGTAAGAGGGTGACAGAGCACTGCCACAGGCGGCCAGAGAGGCTGTGGCCTCTCCGTCCCCATCCATGGAGATACTCAGCAGTGATCTGGACACGGTCTGGGGCAGCCTGCTCCAGATCGCCCTGGGGCTGCACCAGACCGTCTCCACAGCGGCCTGCCAGCCCCAACTATGCTGTGATTTTGTGGGGAAAGAAGTATCTGCAAAAATAACTGGGGAAATAGTGAAATTGACCAAATTACTTGTAACCCAATGTTACAACTAATAACTAGTTGTATAGTTGTAACATTAGTTGTATAATACACTAATGTTTATTTCATAATGAACTTATCAAAATTGTTTACATTGATTTTTTGAGAGCCGTGTGTCTTGTACAAGAATGTGCGATGGTGGTAAKTTGAGTTTGCAGCTTGCCTTTCTATCATCTTTTTTCTGTTTTATTTTCATCTTTATTTTTAATCATAAAGGTCTTCTCTGAAATACTGGAAGAATGAAAATGTAAGAGAAAGGGCAGGCTGTGACGTGTCAGTGCAGTCGTTTTGTTCTGGGGCTGCTTTGCACACAGCTTTGGACTGCTGTTTCTTTTCGGAGTGTGCGGAACTGTGACTGGCACGGCCAGGACACAGGCAAAGACCGTCTTCTAAACATGCAGGGTTTAGAAGGTTCAGTAAAAAGGAATCCTTTGTTTTTAAACACTGTGTATAGCTGGATTTGCAACTCAATGATTCTTATGTCGACAAGTTTATATATCTTTAGATAAATCTCTTTAATTGAATTTTATAGAAGTATTACTACTTTTGCACCATTTTAAATATATATAGATGATAGAATGTTGATTGATAGATTTTTAATCAAATAAAATACCGCTATTTCAGTATGCTCTAAAAGGGCAAGTACACGGTTACAGGGAGAAAAGAGTCAAATTGGAAAGGGTTTGAAGAGAAGGCAGCRCTGAAGGACTGGCCGGGTGTGCACGGCAGTGAGCTCGTGTCCCGAGAACGACGCAACTCTCTGATATGTTCTTTATATTGAAAAGGACAGGGAAGATGCCCCTCCTCAGGAAACCCAGGCTGTAAACTGTTGGAAATGGAATGGTTGTCTGATTAGAGGTTTGCAGCAAAGAGCGTCTCCCTGAAAGAGTTCTTCCTTTGGCTGGTTTTGCAGAATTACATGGTTACAAGGAAAGCAGTCCTGACCAGACAGGCTTTCATATTTCAGATGGATCATTTGTGGGCTGTGTCATCTCCTTTGCTTAAGACTGTGGGCCAAAAAACTTCTAGTGCTTACTCCTTCRTGCAGCTTTCTCCAAGCAATGCAAAAGAAGTATTTAAAATGTGCATTGAATATAATACTAATGACTTATTATTGTTAAAAAAAAAACACCAAAAAGAAGAGCTAATGCACAGTATATACAATGTCAATCATAAAAATGTCTGGTATGTTGAACTTGGTGGCAGCGGCTGTAGATTTGTTCCCTATGCTGTGTAGTAAATTAACAGATTGGTTGTTTGGTGYTAGCAATATTCAGTTGAGAAGGAAAAGAATATAAAACTAGTGAAAACTGTGCAGTAACTCTGTAGAGTGACTAGACTGTATTTTTAAAGGGGGAAAGTGGATAGCCAGACTGATGCTGAAGGGGGCAAGGACGTCCTGCGTGYGAGCTGCAAGCATCGTGATGCTGGTCGTTTGCTGTCGGGAAATACTGCACTGTGCTGTGAAAGACTTAGGCCCAGAAGGGYTGTATTCATAAAACTCACTTAAGCCTGAACTGACCATTTTCAAATTTAAATTGCTTTTCATATTTGCATAATTTATTGCAAATGCAAGTTCGGCCGTAGGCCTCGRTGTTGCTATGTGTGTATAGCCTGTGCTGTCCCTTTTGCCTTAGCTTTACATGCCTCACAGTGCTGGTGAGGTACCTAAAGGTGCCTCTGCCCATGCTGATAATTAGAGTGGCAGGAAGCTTTTCCAGGTATTTTGTTACTGAGTTTATCTGCAAATGATGTGAACTCTTCTCTATTGGGAATTTAGCAGTGACTTTTTATTAGCTGGATTGTGAGCTGGTGTTTGGGGACAGGGACTCCTGTCATAACTATCTGCTACCAGAAGCTGGAGACCCAGCTGCCTCCGTGTGGAGACTCTTCCAACAACCCCCTTGGTCAAGGCTAGGGGCAAAAATATTCCTTATTTCTCCTCCTAGCGGTAATTTGGCTGCCTTCAGTTGTAGTAATTTGGTTTTGTCTCTCAATCCTTTTCAGCTTGTACCTCCTTTTAAACCTCAAGTGACATCTGAGACAGACACCAGATATTTTGATGAAGAATTTACAGCTCAGACTATTACAATAACACCGCCTGAAAAGTGTAAGTTGGAAATTATGCATAAAYCTCTATTTAAAATGATCAGTTTGTGATAATAAAGAAGTGGCATGCAAAGATTTTTTTGATTAATTAGAGATTTCTTCTTGCCATTACCAGGAAAAAATCTCCTAAATGTGACTCTCAATGACAATGCACCTTTAAAGTAAGAATAATTAAAAAGCTTTAAATAGATGATCAGTCAACTTTTTATTTAGCTCACAAGTAGCTCCATAGTTCTTTATTTTAKGGGAAAACATTGGCTTCAAGCATTGTGAGTTGTCAGTAAGGGTCCCAGTTCAGCGAAGTGCTTGGAACATGAACTCCACTTTTAGCATGTGGGGACTGCTTCTGATTTCTGGGGGTTATTTCAATTTTGAGTGCTAAGCATAATTTTAAATATTTTGCAGACCAAAAAAAGAGCATCAGCTGTCAGAGAAAAAAGAGGATGTCCCTTGTGTTAGATATCCATTACATGAAAATGCAATTTACCTTCAATACTGTGCTTCAGCAGAGCTCTTAAAGAAGATATTAATAAAGATTTAATGTCTTCTGCAGACCCTTTTTTGGACCTGAATTTGACCTCACTGCAGTTTTTATTTTTATATATCTTAATGCTACGTATATAGGAATCATGACCTGATCAGCCAAGCTGAGGCCTAACAAAGTTACTGCCATGCCAGGGTTAAAGAGTAGCTAAACTCCCAATGCTGAATTCCTGAACCCCTTTCTAAAAGAGATCAAATTTTAATTGGAGATAGCAAAAGGATCATCATAAAGGTAGACAATAAATGGTGTAGGCGAGGTTGATTATGCCCTCACAAAGCTAGCCCCTTTTTTGGTGTTTTAGGATGCTGTTTAGTTTTCTGTTGGTGTATCAATCAGGAGTTGTTTTCTAGCTTTTGTATTTTTAGTGTCAGAACACAGCAATTTAAGTGTTTTTTAAGTCCTTTTGATGTGAAAAAAATAACCTTTTCTCATCTATCTCATTGAGGACTTGTTCAGATTTGTAACTTGAAGAGATTGCGTTTAAATTGGATTAATTTAGGGAGTATTGCAATGATGATCTCTTAAAACTTCACATACCTGATGAGAGTGGCTGTCTCCTCCTGAGGCTGAGGCAGCAGGGAAGAGGTGGCCGCTGCGAAACCTCCGCTTGGAACCTGTTGGCTTGGGGCAGGTGATTTACAGTGACACCATCTTAAGCCACCTGCCTTGGCCTCTGAGTGAGCTGCAGTTTCCAGGCACCCATGGGATTTTCCCTTTCCTGAGATGTTGTGACAGGAAAAGAGATTTGTTGTGTAATGAGTTTTGTTTTAAAACCTGCAGGTCATTTACCTAGTATGACCTGGAATAGGAGGTCTTTTCTGCCTGATGTGATTATGCAGAGCAGGGTTAAATGGCTTTTAAGGATGGAGGTGCTCCAGCTGTGTCACAAAGTTGCTGCGCAGTAACAGATCTTGTCACTCACCTCGTGCAGTTACAGGAACGGCTTGCTTTTTTAGTTCACAAAGTTTTAGAAAGCCACAGTAAGGGAAAAGGGGTAGCAGAAAGAAACAAAAGTGCCCCGTACACTAAGTTAATTTAAATACCTGATGTAAAAGTTGTGTGCAGTTGAAATTACAGGAGCAGGGAAGTTCTGTCAAGATCAAGCAGCCTCATCATAACAATTGCTCCAAGCTCTACTAACCCTTGATTGTAGGAGGAGAATATATGAAGATGCAAACAAACATACATAATTCTGCATGTATATTCACTGTTAGAATAAAAGTTTCAATTGGTGTCTTTAAGGATGAGCACTGTTTAAAAATTCACCTGAGAATATAGATTCAAATCCTCAGTGCTAGGCAACATCTGGTGCCTCGTTTCCATTGGCACTGCAAGAATTATGTAAATAAAAATATTTATGAATTTGGCTTAGTCCATGGTTCCTGTGATCCCAGTAAATACTGTAAAAATAAACAGTTTAGAAATTAATAATACATAGAAATTGAAAATACTTGAAATTGAGAATGAACTTGCATGAACAGTTCATTTTGAGGTATTCCTCTTTAAACTCCATTCAGAATGAAAGAATATTTAAGGCTGGAGTAAAAATATAATTATTTCCTGAATGCAGCTTATGAAGCAATAGGAATTGTGTTGCTTCAGTCAGCAAAGGCTTTGAGAAAGTCTCTGTGCTGCCAGAAGACACATACTGTGGTAACTGTTGATTTGCCTATGAAGGGTAGTAATAATTGGAGTTCTCAGGCRATTATCAAAATAAAACTTAGGAAAACCCTGAATAATGACTTATTAAACAAATGGTGAAAATCAGCATCATTTTACTCTATTCCGTCAGCTTAGAGATGTACTCTGAATTTCAGGGTTAACTTCAGCAGTGAACCCCGAGTGCTGTAGTGCAGATCAGGGGGATAATGAAATTTGGTTGCAAATGTAACGACACTGACACTGACACTGAGCTTCTCCTGCGCGCAGATGATGAAGACGGAATGGACTGCATGGACAACGAGAGGCGGCCGCATTTCCCCCAGTTTTCCTACTCTGCAAGTGGACGAGAATAACTTTCTGTTCTGCTGCTTCACTGTCATCTTAGGTTTATCACTGAAAACGATTCCGGGGCATCACCACCAGTACTAGAGGTTATCTAAGGTAGCAGGGGCACTTTCAGAGCTCATTCCAAATTGAACAAGTTTCTTCCCCAAACCTACCTAAAGTCCGTTTGGGTTTCTGCATGAAGTACAGTATTTCTCTACGCTCTCCTGCTGTTGCTGCTGCCCGCAGGCTCAATCTCATGGCAGCGCCAAGAAGTAATTCCCAGTTTCTTTGAAGGGAGATGACTTCAGCGTTGTGTGCTCTCTGTGCAAATAGTCATCTCCTTGGCTAAACAGCAATTACGTTGGTCCAGATTATCTTCTTCTGGAAGGTGAATCACAACTGTAATTAGTCTGAAAGGACTAGTTTGTAACACTTTCTTGCATCTGTCTGTGCTGGTTAGAACGAGGAAATGCAGGGGTGGTGATGTACATAGGCAAGGTTTTTGTTAGGCATATCATTACTTGAAGCAGGTCTCTGTCATTAACATCTGGCTGGAATTTGTTTGGGAAACGTGAGAGAGAAGGACTTAAACTGTTGATATATATAAATATATATATATATTATTTTTTAATTACTGTTGGATACTACAGAAGAAGCAGAAGGGCCGGGCTCCCCCGGCCTGCCACTTAGAACTTCCAGGTTCATGTGCAATCATGGAGAATCGAACATTATACATGCAAGACATGAAGGCATAAAAGCAGCAGTTGAAGTTGTTTAAGGGGTCTCATAATTTGCACCAGATAACATCCTTTCCATGCTTTTCTTTTTCTTTCATGATAAACATCACCTCTGATGGCTGAAGAATGTAGACAGGCATAATGGTATTGCTTTTCACCAAAATGTGTGCACCAAGGTAAACAGGTGTTTGCCTTATTTGTTTTTATTTTGAGTTTGTGAAATAGCTTTTTCTCCAGGTGTTTAACTCTGAATATTCCTTTTTTTTTTTTTCTTTTTTGTTACACTGCAGTAGTATTTATTTTTAGTGATAAGGATTGTATGTGTCATGTTTGCAAATGCTGCTACATCTTAGGTAGAACAGGCTTACAGCAGTTAATTTTGTAATATATGGAAGAACTGTACAAGCTGAAGGGAATAATGCACTTTTCTCCCGTGTGGAAATTTTAACAAGGCTCTGAAATTGTACATATTTCTTAGAATCAGTTTTTTGCGAATGAAATAGTGTCTTTTAATTCTTTGGCAGTGGAGGTGAGGAATTCCAGCTTCATGTGCCAAAGGGTTAAAAAAAGAAAAAAAAAAAGAGAAAAAAGAGAAAAAGGCTCCATCCTGTACTCCACTGAAGATTCATGTAACATAAAAGCCTGAAAACGCGATAGAAATTTTCATTTCTATAAGAAATGCATTTGAACAGTGAGACCACAGTGATTACAAGAAAAGCACTTTATTGTAATAATTAAAATAGTAAATATCCAGATCAGTCATTCTCAAGGAAGGATTGCCCTCAACCAAATAAGTCATGAAATCCAGCCTGTTATGTGTGGTACCCGCCCGACTGAGTTTCAGACATCACGAGCAACTCTCCACTGATAGGAAAACGTTGTCTTTCCATTTCCGAAGGTCTGTATCTAACAGAATGTGTGCATAACCTTTAGCTTGGATCTTCAGCAGTGATAATCTTAATAATAAACCCTTTGGTGCTAGGAGCTGGGCTACTGAAGCAGCTGCCGGTGCGCGCGGCCCTGCTGCGCGTGTGCCCCTGCCGAGGCCGTCGGACACCCCCACTCCATGGGATTATCAGTTGAAGTATCCGTCTCCGTGTTCGTATCTTGTTAGCTCCCACCAAGACTGTGACAGTGACAGCGCGTGTCACTGAGCGCGCCGTGTGAGTGAGTAGCGGAGCCTGAAAGGAGAGCCGTTCACGCGCAGATGCCTTAGCCTCTTGCAGCTGGAGCTGAGCCCCCTGGCATGAAAGCGACTGCGGGCAGTGCGTGTGCTGGGACAATCAAGGGGTGGATGGGCACTGCAGCGAGGCAGCTAAAGACGCAGGCTAATTGAGACAATTTTTYGTGTGTTGTGTTTTATCTTTAATAATGGGTGGATAATCAGATCTATATCATGGTGTACATTCTAACTGCGTAGGATCTCATTCTGTCACCTCGTAACACTAACTGCTCACGGGCAGAGACCGCTGCTGTGCGGAGAGGGAAGGAGCCCAGCAAGCGCACGGGCTCCGCGCCGAGGCACCGAAACGCCCGGTTACTTAATGCAGGGGCATTAGTTAGCTCTCCGGAAAGGCCTCGTTACGAACAGACTAAAACCGCAGTGAATCAGCAGCTGTGTCACATGCCTGTGTTTTTTTCCTATGTTTTCAGCTTGTGATAGCAATAAACTTCGGGACACGGGGCACCTGTAGCTAGGGACCAGCTGGAGCTGTGCCTCTGGCCAGCAGTTCCCTGTGTGCAGAGGAAACCCCAGGGTTAGCTCGTTRCCGCGTAGCTAGTTAGGATGCAGTTTGCAGTAACTTTCTGTGGGTGAATTATCGGGAAAACCATTAAGGCTTCACTTTGCATTGTGTAATCTGCCTTCCAAAATACCCTTGATCTTATGGAGAGAGTTAACGTTCCCCTAATGCCGCCTGGAGTTGGGAAATTCTTATCTCTGCCACCAGTGTCAAAGTGGATGAGAGAGGAGGTGTCACTGGGAGAAACCTCTGCCGCTCCCCTCCGCAGTGCCCAGTTGTGGGTCAGGACGGTGCCTGGTGGCCGCTTCCCGGGAGCCTCCGAAGCCCCGTGCGCGTCAGGCGCCGCCTCCAGCTTGTACTGACTTCCATGCCCTACAGTGTGCCCTCTTGTACTGCAGCCATCGCCGAGGAAATTGGTCGTTTCTGGTTGGATTTTGGCAGTTTTGCACACAGCTTTGCTTTCCACACTAATCCATCTTCCAGTACATTCCTGTTGCTTAAAGAACATTTATTCCAGTATTGTTTTACTTTCTTTTTTTTTTTCTTTTTTCTTTTTTTCCATCTTTATTTGCAGCTTCTTAAAGCTGACTGTTCTTGCAGGGGCCATGTGCTTCTCCTAGCGTACAAAAGTAAGGTCTTTCCTTACTAACTGCAGGGTCTATATATTACACCTCAATGTACACACTTTGCTGCTACTGTTTGTACTGTCTACAGTAGAATTTCCTTATCTTGCTCCTGGTAGTGCTTTACAGGCAAGCATGAAATGTAAAGTATTTATTTAAATAAAAACCTCTAAATTGGTAATTGAATTACCTCCCTGTAGCTTTAGAGTTTGTGACATTTCTTGACCTTGCTAGTTCTTTCATTAGATCCATGCAAGATCTAGTCATATGGTTAAGGATATTAAGCAGACACGACTATGAACCCAAGAAACCGTATTACTGTTGGTCATACTTAAACTGTTTATTTCCTTAAGTATATGACCCACAAGGATGTGAAATAACTACAAGAAACTGTTTTTGTACACTGTACATCCTTAGTATTTTTACACGTATATGATAGGGATGCACATTATTTTCCTTCGTACAGACAGCTTAAATAAAGCACTATGTCAATCTGCTACTTCTGTGTTTTTAATGCTAGTTTTGTTCTAAAGGTTTGGAAATATATATATATATATGTATGTTCAAGCTTGCCACAGAGGATTGTTTTTTTACATATGAATGTTACTATTAAATATCTAGAGGATAAAATTCCTAATTTCTTATGTGTGAAAGAAAGGAAGACCAAAATGAGAGGATTATATTGCAGTTTATGAAAAATTACTTTTTGGGTGAAATATTTACTTCATATCTTTAATTTTATATAGGTCAGATGCTTCAGTCTTGAAATGCAAAAAAAAAAAAAAAAAAAAAAGGATTTCTTTGTATAAGGAAATGCAGATGGTTATTTTTTTACTACTGTGTATTTAATGATGTGCACACATGTAGGTAGAACTTTAATTGCCCACGAAGACTTAGCCGTAACGGTAACTTGCTGTGACATCTGTGTAGTTGTAGGCCATCTCTGTCAGTCTGTGAGCTTTAAGATAGAGCGTGGTACAAGAGAGTTCTTGGGAGGAAGCCAGACCAAGCACGTTTCCTACAGGTGCTTTCCAGTCACCTCAGAGCTTCAAGAGGTAGCTGTGACTTCCAAGGTAAATTGGGGTTGTTCTTTGCGGGCGGTGCTTGCCCAGGGCCGCGCTCCTGCCCTAGCATCTGCCCTGGGTGGCGCTGGCTGCCGCAGGCCCCGTGGCTGGGCAGAGCGCGGGAGGAAGGAGCGGGAAAAGGCGGGCAGGGCCGTGGGGGCGCCCGGCAGCGGGACGCGCAGGGCCAGGAGGTGCCACCGAGGCGGCCGGAGAGCAGAGCGTCGCTTGTGCCACGGTTCTCAGCTGGGAGCCCCTGCCTGGGCTGGACGCAGGGCCGCGTGCGCTGCGGGGCCTCGGCCCACGCAGTTGCGGCTCCGCGAGCGGCCTCTGCTGCAGCGCCTGGGGGCTTCCTGGGATTGCGCCCCGCCGCCGACACGGCGTTTTCCACATGGGATAACTTAATCCGGTGGTGGCAGCTTTGTGTAACTACGCGCCCTGTGGCAAAGGCGAAGGGGAGAGCGCGACCTGGGGAGMTGCGGTGCTCTCTGGGCCTGGTGAACAAGTAACTGCCACCGGGTAAGAGCGCTGCRTGGGGAAGTCGGCTCCCCGCGGGCTCCCTGCGTGCAGCGGCTCGGCCTGGAGCCGCGTGCGAGAGGCAGCGTGCGGGCGCGCGGTGCAGCACGGCGCGGGGCGGCAGCAGCGGGCGGACCGAGGGCGCCGGGAGGGCCCTGGCGCCGCAGTGCCGGCAGCTCCCGCCACGTGTCCAACATGCGCCGGGGCCGCAGCGTTGGCTCCGCAGCCTCCCGCGAGGCCCAGGCCAAGATTGGGCAGCCCTGTCCCCAGCCCAGGTCCACGGGGAAACCAGCAGCGCTGCTGCAAAGGGGCCTCTCATCTGCAGGATGGCGCCTCCCTGAAGCTGAGGCAGTCCTAGGTACGTTCCTAGTGTATAGTGGAGCGATGTGGGAAGGAGTTCAGATGTGTTTGGCAGTTTAATGGGGCAGGAAATTGAAATAGGGAGATTAAAAAAAACACTTTGATGTTAAGGCTGAACCACTAATAATTCTTGAAATACACAGGAATGAAAGATTTTGTCTTAAGGTAAATGGTAACATTTCATGTGCTGTTATTCCTATTTTTGCTCCATATATTCCTTCTCATTTTATGTGTTCATGCTGCCTAAGGTAGCCAYGATGTTGGGGAATTGATTTTTGCACTACTTGTTTGCTTTACCAGTGCAGATCTGCAACTGGATAGATACACTGAAGGTACYAGGTGAAGAACCTTTTTCTAATATACTTACTATACACTAATTCAAGATTCAGTTATGTTCTTTCTGAAACAGCCTAATAGTTGGAAAATAATAACTGTTAAAACCAAAACTCTACAGTTAACCGTGAAGCTAAGCTACAGAAAAAATGCTCAAAATACTTTGAATTCAGTAGTTTGAAGCTGAGTTTGGTTAATGCCCATCCCTGAGACAGATAAATATTTGCAAATGGCAACGTCGTAGATTCACATAAGTCGTGAATGTCATGGAAAAAATAAGGTCCCAGTGAATGCCATGTAAGACTAAAGCCCTTGCTGGATTCTGGTAATGAGATTATAARCCCAAGGCCAAGGTGACTTCTGTTTACAGTGCCCTCCTCCCTCGCCCACAGATGCACTTTCCTTTGAAGGCAAAAGGACACAGCCAGAAAGAGAGMCTCAAATTAAGTTTATTAGTATTTCCATATGTAAATAAGACACAAATGTGATTGCAAAAATAGACAAAAGTATTTATAAAAAAATGTGCAAGATATGAATGTAAGAGCTGTAAAAACTGGCTTGCAGGTCTAGCCACTTCAGCACAGTCCTGCATTAGGTGCCTCCTGGGAACGCGGTAGGCTGGTAATGCTTCTGAAATATTTGCATTCCGTAGTTAAAAAAACAACTACAAATCAGTTGAAAATAGTTAGCACGCGTGTCTCTGTTGGAAACATTGGTCTGGGTGGGCTTCAAGTAAGGCCAAGTTGCAGAGCCGGCAGAGAGGAAAACTGAAAGATAAAGAAAGAAGATTTTGGAGCAGCCTGTGGGCCGCAGTGTTCTGGTGTTTTGCTTTGTGCCACTGTGGCCGGGTGAGTTCTGGGAAGGGGAGGACGTGCGCGGCTGAGCACGGGGTCCCGCTGGGCAAACGGAGCCGCCACCTCCCGTCCCCCGCTGGCCTCACCGCTGCTCGCCCACACGGGAGCCTGAGTGCTGAGAACAGCAGCTCCCTGCGCCTGGGCCCCTGCTGCTGCTTAGCAGCAAATAGCCGAGCGCTTGTTTTGGGGCACGTCCGAGGTGCTGCCCCTTCTCCCTTCCGGGAAAGGGGGGCAGGTTTGTGCCAGGCGCTGTTTACGGCGAGCGAGCGCTGCAGCCCAGAGCCCGGCGGGGCAGCAGCAGCAAAACAGGAGGCCGCCCGAGAGCTCCCAGGGCACCGCTGGTGGGAAAGCTAATTCGCCATCTCCAGGCTCGAGCATTGCTATTGTTCGTGCTGCCTCGGCAGCGCTTCAGGATTTAATTAAGAGCAAAGCATTAAACTCGACTGGAGCTGCAGTACCTACCTAGAATTAAGCAACTGGAGTCCTGAAATTAGAATTTAGAGAGGTAAATTGCCTCAGAACTAAAAATAAGCTGTCTAATTYGGCTGTTTTTGCAGTAGAGGACTAAGGGGGTTGTTTGCTTGTTTGTCTTAGTACATAGAAGGCAATTGAGGCTGGGTGAAACACGGAGAGTTGATGAAGCTGCAGTTCAGCGCTGAGTTAAGGACAGTAGCAGGGTGCTGCTTTCCCCAGATGCAGGCATCCCATGGGCTCCCAGCCGCTGCCGCTGTAGCGACACTCAGCACAGGGGAGGAAAAGGCCGACCAAGGGCCTGGGGCTCAGTGTCCGTGCCTGGTTGGGAGCGTCACAGCTGCCCCACAGTCGGTGCTCGCAGGGGACGGCGGCTCTCGGCACCGCGTGGAGGGCGCCGGGCTCCCCGCCGCGGCCGGGCCGCGCACCCAGGGCCGCCCTCCTTGCTCCCGCCAGTGCAGCGAGAGGCTTCTCGTGAGCGCTGCGGGGGGCAGGTGAACCGGGGGTGCCAACACCTCCACCCGTAAAGCCCCCAGGGGCCTCCCTTTCTTTCCATCCCTGCAGCCCCCAGCGTTAATGATCTGCAAGGTGCTGAGTGACGCGGTAGCCACTTCTCCACCCGACTACAGCAGGGCAACATGTGCTTAGAGAAACATAGATCAGGCACAGGCACCGGCCAAGGCTCCGTGTGCCCAACGCTCCGCTGGCTGGGATACTGACGCAGGCCTTGGAGAAGTGGGAGCTGCTCTCTGACCAAAGGGAAACGGAGCTGTTACTCCCAGCAGCCAGGTAAGGAACTGCTTGAAAGTCCTGGCCATGGGACAAGGGCCCCTTCTCCCTCTTCTGAAAGTTTCTCTTCCTCCCAATCTTATCAGAAACTGCTGGAGTTCTCCCTGGCCTCCCTCCCAACAGCAGCAGATGATCTGTGGGCAGTTACTCCTCTGTGCGCAGATTAAAGCTGCAACACAGCGACGTGGCTGCTCTGGTGCCCGTCCATGGGGTTTCCAGCAGAGGGGAGGCCGGCTCGGTGCGGGCAGCCGCCCGAGGCCCCGCCAGACACGCAGCCCCGAGCCGTGGGGCGGCCGCCGCTGCCCGGGCCCCACCGCTGCCCGGGCCCCATCGCTGCCCTGCGCCGCTCCTGGCAGCCCTGCCCCGGGCCCTGCTGAACCTGCCCGGGGGGTGACGAGGCCCAGGAGCTGCGGGGAGCAGCAGCCCCCCGGCTGCTACAGAGAGCTGGCGGCAGCACCACCTCTGCATTCAGCCTGCGTCTGTCCCACCAGCTTCTACCCCTAGCGTTGGAGGAGCCGCCCGTTTCTGGACAGAAAGCTGGAGAAAAGGGCAAGAACGGGGTGCTTGGGAGTGCTTCAAGTGACTGAAACTTCCTGCTCAGGTAAGGGAAGAAACGGAGTCCCAGCTCGGGACACGGGGCACGGGGCAGGTTCCGGCCGCTGCACCCCGGGAGGCTGCGGGCACGGAGCCCCGCGGCAGGGACGGGCAGCGCCGCCGCTCCCAGGCCCGGCCTCGAGGGCTCCKTGCTGCACCACGCGTGTCTTCATTTGCCTGCCGTACAGCAGAGGAGAGAAATCTCATTCATGACATGGGGCAGTTTGACATGTAGGAGCGGCTCTCAAAGGAAACGCCAAGCATGGCTCTTCCAAAAGACTTTAAAAATCATAAGTGTAAATCCCATGATTAATCTATTCACTACTTCTGGATGCTCTGATCCTTARTGGATCAGAATAGGCCATGCAGCAAAGCATCTAGTAAGTAATAGTGCCATCTATTAAATATTGGTGCAGTGATTTGACATTAGCATATGCTGCAGGTCAGACCAGATTAGTGTCATGGTCCTTTTTAGCTCCAAGAAAATGAAAATTCATGTGAGCAGCTTCGTTCTGCTGTCCCCATCCCTGCAGTAAGTTAGAGCGCGGTGTCCCGCTTGCCTGCTCTCTGGAGCTCCAGGCTGCCTGGCTTTTGGAATGGAAGCTATGTACGAGAGGCTTGAGAAGGATCCGAATGGAAGAAATGATAATAATGAAACAGAAGCTGGGCCAGTGCTGGGGAAGGGTAACTGCAGCCTTCTGTGCCACTCTGGTCATGGGACAAATATTCTCCAAGTCAAGATGCTCAGTTTAAGATGCTGAAGCCCAAACCTGTAGGCAGAGAGCTGTTCTCAACTAATACTGAGCTACTTTCAGTGACAGGAGAGTTAACACTGGGATTGTAAAAGCTTGCAGTTCATTTCTGGGAATGAGAAAGATGTTTTTAACTAGCATGGTACTTGTCTTGGCTTCTCCTTCAACAAGGATGCTAAAAGCCCTTAAATCCTGCTTCCTGCAAGGGAATTCAACATGTGGCTGCATGGGGTATTCCTTTAAGATAGCTTTTTTTTCATTCACTTCACCAAACAAAGGAAACCACCAAACCTCAGAGCTTTTCCTTATGTTGCCCCCTGAATTTTCCATGAGAAACAGGTTCTCAAAACACCCCATCACATACTAGGACTTAAAGACTTTTTTTTGTTTTCCCCTGCCCTCTGTCCCCTTAAATACAGACATCAATAACACCAATAAACAGCAGTGAAAATAACCTGGGTTTTGAGAGAGAAAAAAAAAATGAAAATAAAGGCTGTGAAAGATACAGTTTGTCAATGTYTTCTTTCTCTAAACTAAATGCATTGAAATGTAGCAACTTTAAAGTCTTGGACTTAAATTACAACTAACTTTCACAAGGCAAAAGGGACAGGTATGTAATCCTGTGCAGCAGCAGTGTCATTCCAACACCTCCTCCTCAAATACAATTATTTATGTAATGTTTCTTTCAACATGACACTAACTTTTTATGATTCACTTTAGAATTGTAGCCTTTCTGAGGAAACAGAGAGGCTTCTACTTCCTCAACACAAAAACACTATTGGAAGTGGCAGAACGGAACCAGTTCCAAGTCAACACACAAACACCCAGGGTTTGTCTAGCCAAGCACCCAAAATACCTATGGTAAAATCATAATTCTTCTCAAACTACCCACTTACAAACTACCTATTCTTCAGAAAATTAAACCTGGAAAATATTTTTTTAGAAATCTGCCAGGTAAATCTGTCTGCCTTTGTTTTGGAGTGCTTTTGCTAAATTTTAAAAAGTGAAAAAAAAAGTCAATTTCAAACCAAAAATGTTTCAAACACTTTCTTCTCCCCCCCCCTTTTATTTAATCCTGACGTGTTTGCCAGATTCAACCCACATCTGCAAATAGTTTGAGTCCTCCTTTCCTCTCCCTCTCCTTTCTCTATATATAGTATATAGAAAAAATACCTTCTTCTGCTCGTTTCTCTATCCATCCAGGTTTTCACTTGATTCCATCTGTGTCTTGTTTGAGATCTGCATCCCATTTTTTTTCCTGAAACATGCAACTGCTGAGTTACTGGTGGCTTATGTTCCAAGCTACAATAGCAAATTTGGGTTACTGTATTTTACATAATTTTTAAAAGGTTAGGCATGGTTAGTTTCCATTAAAAAAAGATTGTAAAGGAGAACTACCAAATGATACAATAAAATGCAGAATATGAAGTCACCTTCATCTTTGAAGATAGTATCAATATGGTCTGCCATTCTTTTATATATATATATATATATATATATATATATATTTCTACCATAACAATATATATCTATCTGTAGTTAAAATCTCACATCTTGGGTTTTCTTAACACAAGTGTTTGACTTTCCAGGCAGCTCTTTTGGGCTGAATTCCAATTCTAAGAGAACCAGAGCTATTTTAAATAGCTGCAAATAGATTCTTAGGACCAAATTGCTTATATATTTTTTTAAATAATTACTTTTTTTTTCTCTGAGCATCCTCCAATTAAAATATATTCTCTGGAGCACAGTTAATTTAAAATGAACATATAAATGGAGAATTAAAAAGTTTTGAAGAATCATGTCTTGACAACATTACAATACCTAAATGACTTTTCCTCCTTTTGTATTATTTCTGTATTTCTGCCCAACCTTATAAAAGCCAAGTTGCTTTCCGATAAGAGAGATCACCAATAACAAAATCCCTGGGCACTATTTCAAGTCTTGTCACCTTACAGAATGTGCTGCCTTTAAAGCAGAAGAATTTCTGCTTTTCAGAACCAGAAATCCTGTAATACCAAACAACCTGACAAGATTAAAACCATAACGAAGTACACATTTTGTTCTCCTAGGTTAAGTATCTTGTCATTTAATAAATCCTAACACTAAAATGCCTATGAAAAAAATGGCATGATTTCAGTATTTTGAAGTTCCAAAACATTCATTTTATTTTCTGTGTCAGGTATGCTGCAGGACACAACTTTTCTCCACTCCATTTCTTTGGTTATCTTAATAGAGCTCCAGTTTCTCTCTGCAAACTCATTAATCAGCTGTATTTATAAGCTAAATAACATTGTGATATGGCTGCATTAGTTAATTTGCTTTAGCCACAAAACAGAGGGTTTACTTAAAAAAATCTCATTCTGCAGTTGTTAGCTTTCAGAAAAGGAAAGGAAGGAAGGAAGAAAGAACAAGAATGAAAAGAGAAAAAAACAATGAATTAGTTCTCCCCCTTGTTTGCAAAACACTGACTCATTGAAGAACAGTGGCAGGAAAGAAAGAGAGCAAGAGAGAGCAAGAGAGAGCAAGAGAGAGCAAGAGAGAGCAAGAGAGAGCAAGAGAGAGCAAGAGAGAGCAAGAGAGAAGACAGAAGAGAAGAAGAAGAGAGAAGAGAGAAGAAGAGAGAGAAGAGAAGAGAGGAGAAGAGAGAAGAGCAGCCCACGACAGCTTCCTAAGACCACGGGTAGTTCGAGGCAGCCCTGCCCAGGCCAGGGCAGTGACCAGAGCTCATGCAGGCTCAGTGTGAGCTCTGCAGCTTGGTRGGTGGTTCATGAAGCAGCAACTCAAAAATAAGGAAACAAAGTCACCAAGGGGCAGAGGTGCTAAAGCTGGACTTAAGATGTCTAAAAGAGCTCTTGTTAATGCTTTCAGAGAACAGAGTCTCATCTTCTCTAAAAAAGGAACACAAAATATTCTGCTAAGAAAGCTAGAAATTGTCAAAAAGAATCTCTTCTGCTGTTTAATGTCACTTCAAAACACTTTCTTAGTTTAGGTTTAGGCAGGTCCAGGTACCATTTTTCCCTGCTGYCTCTCTCCAATTGCATGGAATTGCAGTTTTATAAGGTAATGTTCTATTAAAAGCAACATCATCAACAACAACAACAACAAAAAAAGGCCAAAAAGGCATTTGTCTCTTAAAGATGCGGAATATTTGCCTAAGAGTTTCAGGGTCTCTTGCTTTTGGCATGGTACCTGTGCTCGCAGGAACTGCACCTCTTCTGTCAGCAGCTGCTTCTCCTTGAAGAGCTGATTCTGCTTGTTGAGCAGCTCCACTAGCTGCTGCGCCGTGGCCTGGCAGTGCTTGTCCAGCTGGGTCAGCCTGCAAGAGAGCACACGAGGGCAGTGCAGGGGGGCTGCAGCTGGGGGCTGCAGTCAAAGCTTTGCTGTTGGTGCTGGCGGAGAGCTGAGACCTCAGCACTCGTTCCAATGGGGTCCTTTGCTCTGCAGCCCATGAGTTACACGAGCACAGCTAAGGTCTGCACTGCTGGCATGGCCGCTGTGTCGGGGGGCACCATTTGGGCCAGGAGGCGCAGTCGGTGCAGCCATCCCTGGGGCCTGAACCCTGACTTGTGTGATGGGGATTCCTGGGCAAGGGCAGAAGGAGCCCTTTGCTCTGACAGGTCCCTCCAGGCTGGGAAAGAGAGGGCTGTAGACGAGGCATCTCTGCCTTTAAACAAGCCAGTATCACMCGTTATGGCCCCAGTGAGCACTTATTACTCTCCCATCCTGTCATGAGAAAGGTTTTAAAAGTCTGTTTGGGACCAAAAATAAGCTGGAAATTTTGAAAAATAAAGATATTTCATTTACTCTTAACTGGAAATGTCTTTAATCAGAAGACTACAGATGTATTTGAAGGTTCTTATAGAAGCATGGATTGAAACCCACAGGTCCTCAACAGTACTGTGCACTTGAAGACGATGCACCAACTCTGGGGATGGCTATTACCAAGTTTTTGCCAAAATTAATTCTGGATTAAACTTTGCACTTGCCTTTTTTTTTTTTTTAAACTATCTCTTGTTCAACATACAGAAATACAGCTTCAACTGAATAAAGTGTTAAAACTTCTGTCTGTGGTTTTTAATGGAATTAGTTATAAGTTTACAGTAAGGCATGTGACTTCCTGCCTCTTACTACTTTCAGCTCCACGCAGTAGTTCTGGCTTGTGCAGCTGTCAACCTCAGCCAGGCTCATTGCTCTGAATATTCATGTTCTTTAGCAGGACAGTTCAAATAATAATAAATATCTGCAACTTTCCTGATGAAAGGCTAGTAAAATTTAACTGAAAATGAATTAGCAAAATTTATGTCAAAACCAGTATTTACTGACCTGTATCAGTCTGTCCGTTTCTTTGATGTCAAATGCAAAGATCTTGCGGTAAGGCTTTAGCATGTTCATAGTGGCCTGCTACTACGTTAACACATCCCTGCAGAAAGGGACTGCAGGAGCTGCAGGACGTCGCACCAAGGACCAGAAGGAAACTCAGCGCAGCTCAGCGCAAACAATAACAGCTGCTTGCAAACTTCCACAGAATAAACARGGCCCATTTTGGCAGTGTGGAGTGTTCTTCTAATCACGATTTCGCACTCTCTGTATGTTCTAAACTATAATGTGTTATTACATGAGCCTGTTTATCCTTCATTTCCTTACCAAGGGTGATTTCGGGGCTTTGGAACTTCAGAAAACAAAACAACCTGCCTCTCCAGACGATACCCCAGCCCTTGTCCTGGCTTTGTTGTGGTTTAATGCTCGCCCAGGAGCACCAGTTTGCACCCGGCGCAGGACGTTAGCGGGAGGCAGTGGGCTCAGCTTCAGTCAGGCCGTGGGGTTCTGCCGAGCGAAGGCCCCCGACCATCGTCTTTGCAGGGACACAACAAGCAGCTGTGTCCCTGGGAGAGGTAAGGCCCGGCCCAGGAGGCACCGGGCAGCACTGGGGCCCGTGACGGGGTGGCCTCCCGGGGATGGGAAGCGGGAGGGCTGCAGCGCAAGAGCCACCATCTCAGGGCAGGCGCACGCTCCACTTCTGGCACACACACAGGCATCACTTCCAGCTCGTATAGATTTTACAGCAAAATGACACGTCCTACTAGATGCTTACAGGCAGCCCATGTGAACTGCAGAGGCATTACTGGCTGTGAGTCTTAGTGCTCTTTATTGTAAAGCTCTAAACTAACATACCCTTTCATCATGTAGAGTGTAATTCAGATAGATAAGCTATTGTAAATAGAAAAGTCCTTAATTATTGAAATATTACTCAATTACACTCTTTTGTTTTGTAACTTTACCACCCACCATGTTACATTCAGACTGTCACTTGAGCAAAGCTAGAAGAATGATGCAGAAACTGAACTTAGTTTTCCCAGCAGGCCACAACTGAACTTCTATCACCTGTATTTATCTCCAGTGCTCGACTACAGGGTTAATATCAACCCCAGCTTTGGGTCATGATGGATAAAGATCTAGTCAGTGCAGATCTCAATCCRTGAATTCCCAACTGCTGCCTGCCAGTCTGCTCTTCCGTAACTGCTGCCAAGCTGGCCCTTGGTCTGAACTCTGGGAGCACCAGCCTGCTGCAGCGCGTTCAGCTCTTGAGGACAGGCTCTGGGCCCTCTCACAATATCTGCTATTACGTGTGACATGTGCAGCACAGCCACACATTCCCATATGCATTGTATCTGGCCTGCCTGCTGATCTCGTAAATGATTCAAGATGAGAAATGAACAGCTCCACCCACACTCACTGTACTTCCCATATGTTACAACTGCACATCGATGCCTGCCATCATTTTTACAACTGGGTGACAGAACCTTCTGCACGTTTTGCTAATACGCCCGAGCGCGGCTGCGCCGCCACCGGCCTCACGTCGGCAGCGCTTCCGAGCGGGCAAGCGCCCGGAGCACCTGCGGGACCGCGCCGCCCCCCACGCCCAGCCCCACCTCCCGTTGCTGAGTTTTCCCACCAAAGTGGCAAGAACCTCCCAAGGGGGATGTCAAGTGGCTGCCGTCCCTTGGCCTGGGAGGGCAGCAGGGTGGGAACTGTGCGTCAGGCTACTTCAMGGCACAGCTTTAAGAAATGTACTGTGTTTAAAGAAAGAGTTGCAATCAGACGACTTACAGGATAACGCRAGGCCAAGGAAATCGCTTCTATTTAGAAGTAACAATACACTTTTTTTCCCCCTAAAATTTTCCAAAACAAAATTCCTATTTCAATACGGAAGTAGGCAAGAGGCTGCTTTGCAAGACAAACACAAGTGGTTCCACAGAAGGAAAGCAAAACTGAGGCATYCTACTTTGTAATGAATGCTTTAAGGTGAACGTTCCATCCTGATGCTCAAACCTTGATGCTCATAAGCAGCTTTGCCTAGCACAGCCCCAAGCTCCTCATGCTGCTCCCTGCACATCTCTCACTTGCACAGCRCTAACACTGGCCTCTGGGATTAGGCTAGACCCTAACCTGTCCAGAAATCACACGGGAAGGGATAGGTATGTTTTGCAAAACTTAGACAAGCAGAGAGATGATGCTGGGCCCTACACAAACTGTATGCAACACGAGGCGCGCGACAGCTTGGGCACCAAGGAGGGTCCCTCCAACAGACTGAACTGGCACTGTGCGGGACCACACGGAGCTGGCCTGGCCTGCAGACAGCAGCACAGCACCTTCATTTTCTGTATGAGTATGCAGGGCTTCTCCGCACAAATGCACACCCATCCCCAAGCAGGGATCCGTCCCGGGCAAAAGGAGGCCCTGAAAGGTTATTGATTCCTTCCCTGAAAGGCTGTTTATTCCTTCAGGACAGCGAGGTCGCGAAGGCAGGAGGCCGTCACCGCGCTCTGCGGAGCCGGGGCTGACGGGGGAGCGCGGCCGGACTGCAGCAGCTGAGCCGCCAAATCCAATAACCCGGCTGCAGTTACTGGCACATGTCTTAATTAGGTTTTAATACAAGTAATCTGATAACCACTCCTGGCCAGCGGGAGCGCGGCYGTCAGCCCTGCGAGGGCCGTCCCCGTGCTGCGCAGCGCCCTGGCCCCAGCGCCACCGGCACCCGCAGCGCCTCAGCACGTGGCCCACGGAGACMCTGCCCCACAGCAAAGGCAGCTCATCGATAACCCCAAGTATTCTTAACCTACCATGAATTTTAAAAACAAACGTGGGCTTAAACACAAATCGATGTTACAAAAAAGGAACAAGCCCCTTAGGAAAGGGAACAACACACAGCAGACTGTTATTACACTTCTGTCTGCTATCATTTTTATATACTTTTTTTAATCTTTTTTATTTTTTTGAGGGCATCTTGCAAATTTTCTACCACATACTAAAATGACAGGAAGCATTTACACTGYGGCCCTTCACAAAGAAATTCCTTTAATGCCCTGGGACACAAATAAGACGAGTTCCAATACCTGAGCACTGGGAAGCACCAGTGTGAAGATTATCTACCTAACTTCTCCCCGCTCTGGAGCTGCTCCTCCGCAGTCATCCTCCATGCACCTGCTCAGTCCCCTTCGCATTTTTGCTTCTTTATTAGACAGGCTCTCATTTCTACAACCCCCTCAGACACAACATGCCCTCCAGTCTCCACATGCTCCCCCCGTAATCACTTCCACCACCATCTCTTGGGGACTGAGGCCCCTCAGCGGGGGAACCAAACGTGATGCTCTGACAGCATCATGGTCCGACCCATCTACCRGCTCCGGTTCAACACCCTGCACCACACAACTGGGGCATTTCCAACAGAACTCCTCTCTTTCACTGAGCTTTGTACTTATTTCCTTGAAATGGCTGAAAGGTTTCAGTCTAAACTGTAATTTTTGTCCAACCTAATAAAATGAAGAAGGAACTTCAGCCGTGTCTCTGTTACAGCAGTGGCAACTACTCCCACCCCTCTGCTGGGACAGCAGTTTGGGTCTCCTCCGCTTCCTTGCTCAGATCTGCGGTGTTTCTCTCACYGCAGCAGAAGCAGCACTGCCTTTTTCCCTAAGACAGCAAAATTCAAACTCACCACCTTTTCAGGCCTTGAGACTGCTCTGTGGACAGCTTCTTAAAGCCAGCAGTAAAAAAGGGCTCTCGTATAAGCATYTGCACTTACATTGCGGCTTGAAATATTCACAGATTCACACAGTGAATTCTGAAGTAAGTAGGTAAGAGTGTGTAAATTTAGAAATGCGGACACAGAAGAATTATAAGCCAAAGTTTCACTATTGCCCTAAATGGTTACTTACTTAAAGTGCTGAGCCATAGATCAGGAGTTTGAGACAACCTTGAGTCATCATCATCACAGAGAAAACATATCCGCATATGTTCCCCAAAAACATCCATATTGTC